GGGGGGGGGGGGGGGGGGGGGGGACAAAGTGCCGCCTCCAGTGCATGGACGGGGCCAAGCGATGGAAACAACAGGCGCTATATGCTCCTCATAACAAGCAAGGGGGAGGGTGCCGGGGGATCGACCAACTGCAAGCTTCTTGCTACTGGTCGTTGCGGGCCAGATTACCCAACTCCCTACTACTCACAAGGTCATGTCGTCTGCCGAAAGAAGGTACTGTACACACGGCGCGAGGTAAGACATGATGTTTCGCCGTGGCTTTCACACCAGTGTATGCAGCAAAAAACACAGCATGTTGCTTGTCTCACCGTCGTCGTTCGTGTCGAAAGAATCGAACGCCTCCTTCGCCGCCTGCTGCTTCTCCGAGTCCCTCTTTGACTCCAACTCCTCCGCCTTTCCCGAACCACATGTATGTTTCGGGAGTTCAGAGTGAGGGCACAGACGTGTCCAGAACATCAGTAGACAAGGGTTTAGAAAGAACAGGTAGCACGAGTCAACGGGGTTCTGATCGCGGAAATGTGATCCGAAACACATGATACGGGACTTCCGAATCCGATCATAGTGTCCGGCCACGTTTCCAACTGAATAATGGAGTCTCTGCTGTGTCACAGCGGCGAAGGCAAAACTTGTTTTTTTCTTGGTTCATCGCCGAGATTCATGTTTCGAGGCAAACTTTAACAAGGTTGCAGGAATGCACTGGACGTTCGGCTAGAATCAGAAGCGGGCTGTATTTATACTCACGCCGGTAGTCCCATGTTTACGTTCGTGGTCAAGTTTGACCGTGCTGTAACAATCCATAGAGAAGCGGAGAGGAGAGTTTACCGTTAAATAAAACGCAATAACACTCTGTGAAGCAGCCCCGAATACAGGACGGCAAGCAGGCCAGCAGCGCCGCATTGAGCTGGCCAGTACTCTCTTTCAGCCCTTACTTGTAGACTGCGAGCATATGAGCCGGTACACACCTAAACTTGCAACCTTCACGCAACAAACTCAACTCCATTTCTTCTCTTGTCTTTGATGAAGGACATTTGGCGAGGAAGTGGCATATGTTCACAACTAGTGTGTACATGTACCTCGCAGGTTGCGACATAAGCACCCCAGCTAAATTGCGCGGTTCTGTCCAACTCTATTCACGCCTCAAGGCTCTTGTCTACTCTTGTCTTGCCGTACCGCGGCGGGGTTTCCTGCTTGCTGTGAAAAAGGCCGCATGTAGGCTTTGCAGTCATGTTTGGCATCGAGACAAACACACCTGCAACCGGAGCTCCGCAGCAAATGCCCTCAACTTCGCTGCTTTTTCCGCAGCCTCTTCAGCGCCGCTTGACGCTACGGCAGACTCCCTCGCCTCGTCATTCGCCATGCTCAAGACGAACCGGCGTGGCGCAACAGCTGCGGCTGCTCCACGCGATGCACCGCTGCTGCGCATGTGTTGTGGATGTGTCACCAGCGAAGGCGGCGTCATGAACGCAGCCGCACCTCCGAGGCAGAGGAGCGACAGCTTCATAGCAGCAGAATATTGGACATTCGCTTCATAGCTCTGGACCATGGTTAGTCTTAGCGGGAAACGTGTCGTGTCTTCGTCGTTGTTGATGTGTTGATGTTGGTTGATATCGCGTGTGTGGAAACCATATGCGGGATGCACAGCAGTGCTGCACGTCTGAAAAAATAATAAGTATGTGTGAGACATAACGCCTCGGGCGGGAAGCCATCCCCTGCTGAAACCCCTCGATTTCTTGCGGCGCAACAACTCAAGACCTCGCCTCCCACAGCCGGCTTCATAGGGCGCAGCAGGGCTGGGAGCGTCGATATTCAGGCTGATATAGGTGAGGTAGCTATCTATCAATCGTGCAGCCTTTGTTTTACAGTCGGGGCTAGTCCGTAGGGGTAGATTTCCAGTTTTTTCTCAGGGCGTACCACCGGAAATCTCCGAGTAAGGGTTGGATCTGCTGCAGTCTCTCCACGAGTCTATCGTGTTGCAACAAAATGTCGCCAACATCATGCACTCAGGTACTGTTGACATCTTTTACAAAAGGTTTGGAGCGATTTGATCGGTCAGAAGATAAGCATGTTGAGATCAAAGTTCAATATTGTTGCGCTATGCTGGAAAGATCCGAAACGCAGGCCTGCATACATGCACCGCAGCACAGCAGATTGGGTTGTCTTAAAGTAAACATACACTACACATGTCAAACTGCTGTGGAAATATCAGCAAGCACGCGGCGGGATACGCTCAGTATCTGTCGACCTAAAGGGTCCATGGTTTTTGGTGATCAAGAGAGGGTGGAAGCGACTTTTCTGAACCCCAGACCACATCTAGAGAAGTTGACGTTCGAAACGAACGCATCTTTGTGGATGGTCCGCGGTAC